TCCAGTGGCTTCAGGGAGTCGGCCCTCAGATGTGCTGAAGAGGTGACATGGAGCGCGTTTATTGCACCAACCAAAAAGCAAACCAGCCAACCATAAAGACTTGAAGTCAGGAATCAAGTTTTACCAGATCACCGTGGCTTTGTCCGGCAGTAGAAAGGATCTATCACAAATCCTTCTTGCCAGCGCCATGGCAGAGGAATACCCTTAATGCAGTCACCACACAAAATGATGACTCGTGTCGAACACCCCAAGACTAAGAAATCAGCATTGAAGTTTGGTTGGCCCACCTTTTAATCCAAGAATCGCACTGAGAAACCATTAGACCCTTTGGCGTGCCAAGAGTTCTGGGTTGCTGTCCCAGTGGGCTGTAGCACGTCCAATTGTCATTACATGTGCGAACAAAGTAGGCATGCAGCATGAAAGCATTGCATACCACTGCAACCTTCAGGATTCTGGGTGATGAAAGGGTTGGCAACAGGGTTTGTTGTGGGGCTGCTTGCCAGAAACCGGTCCATGCCTTGTGATCAGTTGGACATCTAGGGATGGGGCAAAACTTTCTGAGCAAAGTGGTTGATTTCGAACTGTCTATGAGTCCAGACTTAGCCAAAGTATATGCACTGTTGCATGTGGAGCTTAGTGCCATGCCCTCTCCACCGACAGGCTGATCTTAGGCTGTGCGGACCTTTAGTCACTGCAATGTCCATCCTTCCCAAACCTTGACGGTTTCGAGTATATCCTGGGACGTGCTGGACAAAAGTTACACCAAAATGACAACATGCCAATTGGTTGGGCAAATTTTGCTTCTATCGCATTCAGGTTCTCCGCCTCAACGCATCCTAATGTTTGATTACGCCAGATTTGGGTTGTTTCTTCTGCTTGGTCAGTCATATTTCTTTGATGCATCGTGTTCTGGCATTTTGTTTCGGAAGTTGATGAGGTAGAACGAGTCGTCGTGGCAAAACAGTTGCGTGCGTGACAACCTTGGTTTTACCAGGATGTGAAACCTCCCCATGGAGCAAGGACGGTGAGGCCTCTACCGCACGCAACCTGCGCTGGTAGCACTCCTCCCGAATATTGTGGTCTCAAGGGGGCATTCAGCTGGCCCTGTCAAGATTAGCAAGTTGCCTTCAAGCTTATAAAGCTGACGGTGGCGCTCCAACTGTAAGTTGGCTGTGAAAGTGCGCAAGTAGAACAGGATCTTTGAATGAGTTGTCATCTCCCTCAGGCTGAACTCGAGTCACAATAATATGAAGCTCAGCCCGCTTGTATGCAGAGGCTCCAGCACCCAGGCCTCTTGTGTCGGGTCTCTAGCCTTGTAGGCTTTGTGGAACGCGCTGTTCAGGAGGGAGTGGCCAACCCTGACCCCCAAGCCTTTTGCAGCGGGCTTGCTGAGATTGAGATTTGCGCCTTTCTCACACACTGCTTCTAATCAGGAGACTCATTCTTGTTTCGATGATCCCTTTGAATGGCATTGCTGCCCGCCCCCATGTTAATGTTGCGCTGTTTGCACCTCGGAACTTGTGTCTCAATTCCTATCAGAGAAGTGGTGCCCTGTGGCCTTTTGCGCTGAACAGGACTGAGCCATGCCTCTCACTATTGTTTGATAATGTTTGATATATATATATACATACGTAATCTTGCAATGGTTGCGACGTTAAATGCCTCCCCTGACTTGGTCGGCTTGGAGCTGTAAACGAATTGCACGGGAAGGGAAATCCGTGCTTCAAGATCTTGAAGAGCAAGAGAAAAGAACACTGTGGTAAACAAATGCGTGTGAGCAGTCCATTTGCTTTGCATAGCCAAGGCCTTGAGCTTGAACTGCAGTTTTTGGCTGTCACCCTCCCCGATTTTGGACTGGTGACTGCAGGCTCTGGTGTTTGTGGAGCTGAACATGTATGGCAAGCCCAACGCACAATCCAGGGTCCGGTTCACGACACTGTCAATAAGTTGATACTTGCACTCAATGCTGGTGTGCTGCTGAGTTAAGCAATCGCAAATCATTGAAAGAGCTTTCGGAGCACAACTTCCCATGCCTGTGCTGGGAAGCTCGGGCCTGAATGATTCATTCTGCTTTTTGCCTGCTGCCAGCTATGACAAGTGTGTTCGCAGAAATGATTTGATGAAGCGCTTGGCCAGAATGGAACGTTCGATTGCACATGCTATTTGCGGAGGGGCACGTCAATTGAAGCCCTGAGTCCTTGCCACACTTGAGTATTGAGCGCCGGGCATCAACCCCGGACATCTTCAATAGATTTTCGAACAATCTTGAGCAGCCCAATTTGGTCCACAGAGAGGGTGTCCTCCTTGTCCTTCTGAGCTTGGGTTGGGCGCTGAGCATGTCGTGCTTCATGCTTGGAGCTTAGAATGTCCAAACCGGTGTGCTCATGCCACTGCCATTTCGACTTGTGGGCGCAGATTGCTTCAAGAAGTCGGGGAGTTGCCCCAGGATTTGAGATCCTAGGGGCAGAGCCAACGAGGAATGCGCCCAGCACGTGCGTACCAACCACACGTAACAATTCCATTTGCAAGGTGCAATGCACTAGATGTGGGCAAAGTCCGGAGGATCAAAAGACGGGTGGTGCGGCTCCCTTTGCAAAGCTAACCGACAGCGAATCACCTGTGTGCAGGAATGTTCTTGGGCCTTGGGGCATCTGCAAAACAACGGCTGCCCTGCATCAAATCGGCCCCGGGCCGAAGTTGCCTCTTCCCGCCAAGATTCTCATTTCGGTCTTCCAAGGTGCATTTTGACTGTGTGCCTCTTGGCTTCAGAAACAGGCAGGGGCATTTGTCCCACCTGTATCCACCGGCTCCACGTTTGTGTTTTCACACCGTATGCCCTTGAATGCGTTAGGGTGTTTGGGGTAGACTTGATCCTTGGAAATTGCGAAAGACAGGTGCGCAACACCGAGTGCTTAGTGTTGGGATTGCTGGTGTAGAGGCCAGGAGTACATCGAGGAACTGGGGAATGAGCTCAGACCCTATGATCCAATATGATCAAATGCCTTATGCAACTCCAGCACACGTGCTGGTGGGCGCAGGGACCTGCATTGAACCTTCTTGAAGGCTCACGGGCCTGGGGCCAAACGCCTAGCAGGTCTGAGGAATTCGAAGTAATGGCCTGTTCATCCAACCCTCCCAGAGAGAGCCCCTGCCAACCTAGTTCCTGCCTCAGGGAGTGAAAGCAGGAAGACATGCCCCTATAGGCCCTATAGACTTGATACTTCAATGATCAGCGCAACGTCAGGTCACGCTTGTATATGATGATTTGCTCAGGTGTGCTTCAAGTTTTCGCGGCAATTCATATCAGAAAGCCATATGAGCCTTCAAGGCCCCAATGTCAATGTAAAGAACCGTATTGCTGCAGGACGCTTTTCCGACCAACCAGGCTTTTTGGCAGTTGCTCAGTCAAGAGTTGCCAGAGCATCCCGGAGTTCCTACTCAAGCCCGCCAACACACAGAGTTCCACTGCCAAGTGCCCAAACACTACAAGAGCATGTGATCCTTTAAGAAGCAGGGCTTACTGCCCTCGAACACTCACGTCTTGGCCCTAGCGCTGATTTAGAAGCGAGAATCGCCGGTGTGCAGGAGCGTTCTTGTGGCTGACCCGCAAACCAATGGCCGCCCTGCAGTTGCCTCTTCCCGCCAACGTTCTCATTTCGGTTTTCCAAGGTGCATTTTGACTGTGTGCCTCTTGGCTTCAGAAACAGGGGCATTTGCCCCACCTACATCCGCCGGCTCCACGTTTGTGTTTTCACATCGTATATCCTTAAATGTGTTGGGGTGTTTTGATTGGTGGTCAGGATGCGGAGCATTCACATTCCGGCCATGTGTCTCAAATGTGTAGTTGAATCTTGACAACCTCCCGACTCTGAAGCTGACCTTGTCAAGGGGCCATGTGGCTAAGTTGGAATTGTAACTTGTCCACTTCAGTCACCTTGGTGCATATTTTGAGCTTGATCAAGGCTTGAGCACTTCGTCAAATGCTCACTTGGAAGAGATTCCTTTAGGTTGGAACGATCGTGAGTTGATCCACCTGCAGGACCTTGTGCACACCTGTCAAGACTCTCCATGGTGGGAATGCGCGGATAGCTTTAGCAGAAGGGTCAGGTCGCTTGTTGCCTCATGTAGCTGCCAGGCCATGTTCAGTTCCAAACAGCCATGATGTCTTCCCTGACCTCCCACAGGTGGGTTGGAGGAAAGTTAGACTTCTACATAAGCTGCATGTGTTCTGGTGCATGACCAGGCATGTATGTGGAGAGGCGTGGTGTTCTGCAGTGGATCGCTTCCAGGTGAGCTGCGCAACGCGATTTTGAAAGTCCGTGGGTGGAAGATGGAGAAAGCAAGCTGAGGCAACATGGCACAACTATGCGGTGTCCCAAGCATGGGGATTGAATGTCCATTTAGATCCATCTAGATTGAGTACTCATCACTAGAGTGTTTGCAGATATAGCCAAGCCTTTGGTCCTTTGGTCCTTTGCAGATGTATCCCGTCAACTTTGATTTTTGACACGTTTTGCAACTCCCACTTGCCAGTGCCCTCCATGGCGTTGGGTGGGTAGGTTTGCACCTGATGTTTAGAGCTGTTCAGTGCACTATGTGGCCCGTTACGTGTTTCAAAAGTCAGGCAGTTCATTGCACTCTGTGACATGTAACGCAAGAGCTGGTTCACTGCCTGAGGCATGTAACGTTTACGGAGTTGAGTCGAGCCGTTCATTGCACACTGACGCATGTATCGGAGGAGTTTACAGTTTGCTGCACTGTGAGTCAGGAATGTAACGTTTATAAAGTGTTCAGCTTGTCAGCGCGAGCCAGACCCTGGATGTACAGAACAGGCGCGATGCAACAAGCTTAGAAATGTCAGTGCGGCAGGCCTTATGCAGCTTCTGAAGAAGCACAAGCGCAACACAAAGAGTCCAAGAAAGTCTCTTGTGGAGACGTGTCGGTAGATCGTTGAGAGTAGAGAATAGGTGGCAGGGAGCATGTGCCAATTTCAGGAGCAGGACGTCAAACCATCAAACAGCTGCGCAGGTATTGTCTTTTTTTCGCACATCACTTTGGCTTCGACATGCCTAAAGATCAGGTGATCCAGCTCATGTCTGGTGAGCCCGAAGGGCAAAGCCATCTCGTAAAGGAAGAATCGGGAGATTCAGGTCGGCATATTCACCGATACGCGAACAAAGATTCGCCGTGACAATATCGACAACATCCATGGAGCAAAAGGGTCCCACAACATCACTTTTGGGGGCTTAAGGAACTTGTGCAGGCCGAATCAGCTCTGGCGCTCGTCATATCGAAACAAGATTGATTTGGACACATTTTGTACCCCCCCTTGCCAGTGGTGCACCTTCTAGAGGCAAGCAAAGATTCTGAAATATTTTTTGAACATAGAGAGAGAGGTAATTTTGGGGCAGCTGTGACGGCTAGACGCTGCAGCAAGAGAAAGGCATATCATATTTTGTAGAGAAAGGGAGCACCAAGTTCAGGAGGAGCAAGACCTCGGACAAACCGTCACATGGCAGGGCATTCAATAGCTGCAGGCGCCACTGTTCATCAGCTCTTGCCTGCAGAACGGAGAGGCCATCTCGTAAAGCAGGAATGCAGGGCAGATCGTCGATACGAGGATTTGGGGGTAGCCTATGCATCAACGGCGAAAGATCTACAAATTTCCCTTGAACTCCACAAAAGGGGCCCACAACAAAGACACCTTGTAACGGCCTGCTTCTTCAGAGAGGCTTTTCTTTTGGGACCTTGAGTGACCTGTATATACAGGCCGAATCAACGAGCTGCTGCATTCATCATATCGAATCGACTTTGATTATTGACACATTTTGCAACTCCCGCTTCCTGCTGCCGTTTAGGCAGCTTCTGAAAAAGTGCCAAAAGAAGCAGAGATTCTGAGACTCGTTGTAGCACTAGGCATATGTTGCAGATTGTAAGAGACATGTTGGACGGCAGCAAGCATGCGCTAGTTTTACGAACGAGACCTTGTACAAGCTGTCATTTAGCTGCGAAGGCATGTCTTGGCTTCGTAGTGAACCGAAAATCAGTAAAGGCAGAATCGGAAGACACAGGTTGGCCCATTCATCGATACACAAAGAGAGCATTGGACCAGCCTACTCACCGATGGTGTGAAAGATCCACTGCAAGACAATTTTTCATCAACTGGAACTCCACAAAAGGGGCCCACAACAAAGCCACTCTGATTCTGTAGCGGCCTGCTTATTCAGAGAGGCTTTTCTTTGGGACCCTGAGTGACCTGTACGGTACAGGCCGAATCAACGAGCTGCTGCATTCATCATATCGAATCGACTTTGATTATTGACACATTTTGCAACTCCCGCTTCCTGCTGCCGTCTAGGCAGCTTCTGAGGAGGCGCCAAAAGAAGCAGAGATTCTGAGACTCGTTGTAGCGCTAGGCATATGTTGCAGATTGTAAGAGACATGTTGGACGGCAGCAAGCATGGGCTAGTTTTACGAACGAGACCTTGTACAAGCTGTCATTTAGCTGCGAAGGCATGTCTTGGCTTCGTAGTGAACCGAAAATCAGTAAAGGCAGAATCGGAAGACACAGGTTGGCCCATTCATCGATACACAAAGAGAGCATTGGACCAGCCTACTCACCGATGGTGTGAAAGATCCACTGCAAGACAATTTTTCATCAACTGGAACTCCACAAAAGGGGCCCACAACAAAGCCACTCTGATTCTGTAGCGGCCTGCTTATTCGGAGAGGCTTTTCAAATTCCCCAAAGTGACCCACAAAACGACCACTTTAAGCAGGTGAGAAGAAGGACAAAGACAGAATGTCGGCTACTGTGGCGATTTGTGACGCGAGGAGTTTTTGCTTGGTGCGGAAGCCACAGGACCAGCAGTCAGATGACTCCCTGATGGATCTCACTTTTAGGAACACATTGTGCACTTGATGAGTTAGTCCGATGCTGACGTTTGGAAGTTGTTGTTAGTTAGACCTCCTCAGCCGTGGGGTGCCTTCTGAAATTTCATCACTATTGAGCGTGAGACCTCAACAGGATAGCCCTCACCCTTCTGACTCTGCCATGATATTGGCCATAGACGGCTACAGCAAATTTTTCAGGCGGCCATATCCTTTGTGCAAGTTTATGCAGCGTCCACCTGGTCGAACCGGTTGATCGCATGTGCTAGTGTTAGAGTGTATGTGAAGCTTAACTTGCCTCCCTGCGCTTCAATCTCCGCCTTCTCAAGCTTTCGGGCGATAAAGTGGTTTGCCTGTGTCCCTCCCCAAATGTATGGAGATTTTCCCATATCCACCATCAAGGGAGGCAAGCTCGATCCATTTTACATAGTGTTGAACCTGGATCTTTGCCAAGCTAAGCCAATCGCCAGGTCCCAAAATTCCGCACTCTGGCAATTGATCCGAGGCACAGCCTGAAAAGCTTTGAAAACTGCTGTGCTCATGCGCAATAGGACCGCACTAAAATCATTTTTTGAGGACACTGCACGAGCGGCTATTGTTAATATGTGCATGGAACCCCTTTGATTGACAGATTTAGCAGTTTCCATTTGTTTCCATTTGCTTTAAACTTGCCCTCTCTTGATACAGCTGTTTGAATCCAACGTGGGATGTTTCCCAAAAGCTTTCGCCGGGCTTGGGTTGCTTGCTGGATGTAGCCCAACCCATTGCTTGCCAAGGATGGCTGTGAGCAGAAGGATCGCACATAAGGCATCCCACTTCAAGCATCCTGCAGCCTGCAGCGCGGGAATGCTGACACTGGCATGAGGCCTGTATCAGTTGCTCTCGATGTGCGTGGCCACACCGACAAACTCAGGCCCTTGTGCTGATGAAAAGCTCAAAGGCTTTGCTTGTACGAAGCTTGAGACCACGACCTGCAGTGTCAGAGTTGAAAAACAGTCTGCTCGGTGTGTTACAATATGCAATATAGACCTACTGCAAGCATATTAGTTGCTTTCCCAAACAAGCCTTGTATTTATATATGTATATCAGTATTTCACTGGTTGCCATGTTTGTGTAAGAGTTTTGTTCATGCTCTCTTCTCTATGTTCGTTTCTTTTGCTTAAGTCACTTGTGACCCTACCCTTCCTAGTTCTGAGGGACTTCAGCGCTAACCCGCCAGTGCAATACCACTGTCTCATGTGGCCAGATACTGTGTGTGGAGATGGATTCGATAGGGCGCACGATTTCACTTTGGCCGCTCTCAAAGTGTGCTGGCAAAGATAGGGCACAACTGGCAACTAGTGCAACAAGCAGGTCGGGGGAAGGAAAAGCGGAAAGCTGTTGTGCGCCACCCTTCTGCAAGGACACACTTGTGCCACACGCATGTGGGACACTTGTGCACGACACTCTTGTGGGACACTCTTGCCGGGCACTCCTGTAGGGCACTTGTCGCGCACTCTTATGGGACTCTTGTGGGAGACTCTTCTAGCGCACTCTCCTAGGCCCTAGGCGTCCGCCAAGTCTCCAAAACGAGCATCTTGTGCGAGACTTCCTCCACAAATAAGCGGGAAGCCTTCTCAGAGCAAATACGCACAAAGTATGGCGCCTGCCTTGAAAAGTGGCCACCACACTTTGACATGCCTAGCAAAATTTGACCATATTACACAGTTGGAATGATTTCCACACTTTTTGAGCACGTTCACAATACAATAATCGCGATTTGGCAAGGGCCCAAGAGCAAATCCAATGACACAATGACATTCAACACCTTCAAAAGACCACCCGGCAAACGCCCCTTGCAATGCCACAGCGGCGCATAGTGCGGACGTCACGAAACCAGCAGTAAAAGCAGCCGTGACACTTTCAACAATCAAGTTTCAAGATGTTTCCACATTTTTCCCGAGATAGCGAGAGCTATTGGGTTCTTACTTCAAGTATAGGAAGAGGTGCCTGTGTGCACTTTGGAGCTTGGGTGCTGGTGCCGCTGCAGGGTGCCGCTGCCGGACGTGTGGCCGCGTGTCTTTGGCCGTGTGTCTTTGGGCGTGTGCGGTGCTGGCGCCGCTGGAGGGCGCCTGGCGTAATTTCACACGTTTGACCTTTCGTGCTTCCATCCAACACCCCCTCCAAAAGCTCCTCCCTAAGGGCAGGAATTTACTGTTGAACAGTTGGCCGACGCCACGAGTCTGCAGCCGAGCCCAGCCACGCCCCCGGGAGCAAGCCACTGGAAAGTAAAGGGCGAGAATTGAAGAGGAAACAGTCAATGTGACACCAGGAGACGAAGAATATGCAACATGTCATGTCATGTGGTGAGGGCGTCATCAAATCAGGATGTGTAGAGGGCTTGCCAGAACATGTTGTTGTCTTCATTGAGGACAAGTTGGGATGTATGCCAGGCCCGGACTACGCAACAAAGGGACACATAAAATTCAGATTTGAAAACCACACATATAGTGCCTCGAAGCAACCGTCACTGGAGTGGAGTGAGGGTCCTGTTGAGCATATGGATTGCTTTGGTTTTTACTTTGTTGCACAGACATGTCACATGAATGACATCAAAGACTTTTGATGTGTTGAAATTTTGCTTGGGAAGCAGAAAGTAGTAGAAGTCAAGAAACACCTGTAATTGTTTTGTGTAAGGTCGATTGAGTTCCTGTCGCTCAAGACTCTAGGCTCCAGGTATATGGACTGGGCCCCAAAAGCCCTCACCTCGCAAATCTCCGGACCTCAGAGCTAGTGTGGGGATTTGGGTGTCCCACACCCTTCTCCTTTGCGGGCCCCCTTCGTGTTCCGGCCCGTCTTCTTCTCCTCAGTGGCATCCTGCCACGGTCGCTTCTTGCTTTTGGGGCCTGGGCTTCTTCGCCACCCCTTTGCCTTGCATTGGGCTCCTTCCTGCCGGCACTCCGGCTCCAGCTGACCGAGTTCGTGCGTGTGTGAATGAGCAATCGCTCACCTGCATCCCCCGGTGAAGACGAGGACCTTTCGCTTTCCCTGGAGCCAAGGGCTCCAGATCTCGATCAAGGGCAACGCTGATACAGCTGCTTCCTTCGTGCAGCGATTGGCTTCAGAACCAGGTCGTGCAGCATTTTGAGCTGGGGCGGCTGGTGCTTACACTGATCTGCCTCGTCAGGTCGCTCCTTCAAGTACTCCGAGCATTGCATCTTGGCAGGAGGTTGACACACCGACACGGCCGAGGCGTGAGACAAGGGACAGCATTGAGCGTGCTGGAATTGGCCAACCGCTTCTACGCCGTTGTCCGGGGACCGGGAATTGCCTCGCCAAGGGTCTATAGGACCAGTCGTGAGCTTTTCAGTGCAGTGGGCACCCTGGAAGGTAGTGAGACCATCTGTCACGGCTTCCCGTCAAAGGCTGAAACTGAGGTTTACCTTGCAGGTGCAGGCTTCGAGAACGTGCAGTTCCCTCAGTAGAGATGCCGGACTTTGGGACAATGGAAGAGGCTCTGGAAGCAGAAGAAATTTGTCCTCTGCATGCAGACTTCGAACCGGCGATGTTTCAGCCCTACGTGCTGGACTTGCATGGCCTTGGTTTTGGGCCGGCGCACGTCACTCAGTGCCTGGCCTTCGTGGTTTTGATGAGGAGAGATGGCGCCCTCCTGGCGCTACCCGAATTGGCTATGCCAGGCGATGCCCTTGCAGCCGGAGATACAGCCAGTCCATCGTCTCTGGTGGGTCCCCATTTGAAGGTGCTGCAGCCTTGGACGAAGATGCCATCCTGCGGGAACCTATGCCTGTCGAGGGCCGTTCCGTACCCGTCGAGCTGGTGGATTTCAGTGCAGAGGTACTGCCATACTTGAAGGCAGTCGATCGTGTCAGGGACATTATGGGCCTCCTCGCTTTCGACTTTCGAGAGCCTCTTCTCATACCCCATCCAGATGCACTGGTCGCAAAAACTTTTTGGAGTGGGCGAGAGGAGATTTGGAGGAGGTTGGAGACAGAATTCAGTTTTACTCGGCAGACGATGTTCCGGTGACCCCTGGTCAGATGGAGGAGGGACAGGTCACCCCAGAGGAGCTGAGGAGGGCGAGCAAAGCTCCTGGACCGAAACGGAGAACAGCAACACCTCGAAGCTTGAGAGGTGGCGAGACCGGTCCTCAGTCAGCTGCCCCAAAGAAGAAGCCTACGGTGGCTATTCTAGCTCAGTCCTTGGAGGAGATTTCTCAGACCTTGCCTGCCTTGGTGACTCAGGTTCAGAACCTCTCAGACAGGACAGCGGCAATGGAGGCAGCGACATCTCGAGCTGCAGATCGCACATCAGCAATGAGGCCAAAGGTGCCTTTACTCAACAGGATACAGAAGAAATGACCTTGGAACTGCCGGAGAGTCAGCCCGACTTTGCACAGGCAATGCTGGCTCAGTCTCAGGCTTTGACGGCCCTTGTGGCCCAAATAGCAAATGGATCAGGAGACCCCTTCCACGACCTGGGCACAACAAGCGGCTCCCTGTCATCCAAGGGATCGACAGGTCAGGCAAGGCTTCAAGCGGAACTGGCGGCTCATCGGGGCACCTTCTTCACAAGCATCCTGCAGAGCATGTCGACATCGGGTGAAACCTGGTGGAGAACAGTCGGAATGACTGGAGGAATGAGGTTTTTTTCGAACCGGGAGTCTTCAAATGCCAGCTCTTTGGAAAACATGGGAATCCTGCCACGGCGCTTGACAGATTTGCGACCAATGGGTGCAGGGTGCAGGCATCGCAGCAGCTGGCGCTGCTGGATGGGCCGGGCCCGATGCCACTAGGCTTGAGACAAACGAGATCCAGCCCCGCACAAAATGGCCTAAAACATCTGAACGATCCATCCTTTCATATCGTTTCCACTTACAGTAAATCAGTCGCATCTCCACATGAAGCGGAACCGAGACCAGGCCCTGAGGGTCCAGCGAAGAAGAAGCATCGGCCTGCCAGCCGTTCGTGTTGTCTTGCAGGGCTCGCGCACTAGGCGTGATCAGCCGCACGTCATTTTTGGTCGATGGCTGGCCGGGAGTCTTCGCGCTATACTGGAGAGGTTGCTGGGGCCCTACGCGCTTAACGTCATGGGCATCTTAGATGCCTTGGTTGTCCTCGGCAAGGACCCATATGCTTCAGGGAAGAGACACAGCTGCTTCTCTGAGACTATTAGCGCGGCCATGGCTGGAGGGCCGGTCTCGAAAAGACTAGATACTGCTCGTTTGGATCTGGCTGTCGACTGGATCGTGGATGAACCCCACAAATACAACAAGGTGCTCCCTCAGGCTATCTTCATAGCCGCAGTTGGTCTTGCTTTGCCTAGAGGTCGGAACCTTGAAGTGGCCATTTTAGCCATGGACTGGGCGGGAGGTCTTCGCATGGGAGAAACTCTTCAAGCAAGGTTTGAGGGCCTTGTATTACCACGAGGTGCCTCGCCAGGAACCTGGGTTGCTTTGCTATTAAAGACAAGAGGTTGTGCAGCACGTCATCAATATTTGAGGATCACTTCCCAGGACATGGTTTTGTTGCTGGATAGCGTCTTCGCTCTGTCATTGCTGACGGGACTTCTGTGGAATAGATCTCCCCAGGTCTTTGTCAAGAGAGTTGGTATTTTGCGGCTGCACTTGGCTTGGTCTGCAGAACGGTCGGCAACTCGCAACGCCACTCGTTGTCGAGCCTCAGACCAGGAGGCGCCACGTACTGGCCACAAACCACAGAAGACGCTGAATGTGTCGGAAGGAGAGGCATATGGCTTTCTACGAGAGTCCTTGAGGTGTACCACCAAGAAACGACATTTACAACTTATACACAGACCTTGCCGCAGAAGGCTCAGAGCCGAGTGAGTTCTCTTGAGGATACACTTCAATGATGTTTCGTTAGAAACTGTACAAAAGAAACAGTTTTAAAAAAACCCCTGAGTTTGCTTGGCCACGGCTTGGGTGATGCAGGCGTGTTGGGTGCAATGGCCATAC